ATGAAGAATATGAGAGTCGACAAAAGAATGGGCAGTGAAAGCTTCTCAAAAGATCTATGATAGTTACAAAAAAAAAACTATGCTGCATAATGTATAAGACATAGATGTAATTAAACAGTAACAAGATAAATGTCATTGAGAATGATGCTTCAGCAAACTTGTGGCACAAGAGGCTGGCACATATGAGTAAGAAGGGGTTGCAGGTTTTGACAAGACAATCTCTCATTCCCTTGACCAAAGATATATCTCTCAATTTATGTAATCATTGTTTGTTTAGTAAGCATCATAGAGTTTCTTTTGTAAAAGTTCTCAGAGAAAAGAAAATAGATAGAAATTAATTTATGCTAATGTATGTCGTCTCATTAGGGTTGAGTCATTAGATGATAGTAAATATTTTATTACTTTTATTAATGATGCTTCACATAAAACTTGGGTGTATATGTTGAAAAACAAAAGTCAGGTATTGCAGTATTTTTAAAAATTTTATGCCATCGTGGAAAGAATGATAAGGTTACTCTTGAAGTGTATTTGGACTGATAATGGTAAGGAATACACATCTAAAGACTTTGAAAAGTACTATTCAAAGCATGAGATTAGGCATGAGATAATAAAACTTGAAACATTACTACATAATGGTATAGCTGAAAGGATGAACTGCACTATTGTGAAAAAAGTCAAATGTATATTAAGGATGGCAAAATTACCAAAGCCATTATGGGGTGAAACAGTCAACACAACTTGTTATTTACTTAACAAATCACCATCAGTTTTTTTGAGCTTTGACATTTCAAAAAGAGTATCGATAAGAAAATATGCTTTATACTCTCACTTAAAAGTTTTCAGATGTAAAACATTCATGCATATGTCGAAAAAAAAGAGTCAAAGCTTGATAGTAAAGTCATACAATGCGTATTTATAGGATATGGTGATAAGAAATTTGGTTACAAGGTATGGGATCCAGTGAAGAGAAAAGATAATCAGAAGTAGAGATGTGGTCTTCCATGAAAAAGAAACCATAATAGACCTTGAAAAAAATAAGAAGATTATACGGGTTACTATTAACTGTAATATTTTAACACTGATAGAGGTTTCATAAGAAAGAGCAATAGATGGTGAAAATAGCAAGAAACATAACTTGGGGATATAAATGAGCTAGCCACAGTTAGCGATGAGCCAGATGCAATTAGTTTTGAATAGGATGAGCAATCTCTCCACTAGAGAGTGTTGAGCAAGAAGAGCTACTTTTGACATTAGTTGATGTAGACTCTCAGCCTAAAAGATCTACTAGAGAGCACAAGCTATTTACCAGGTATCCAAGTCTATATTTTATTTTAGTTACTAGTGAGGGAAAGCTAGCGAGCTTCTAAGATGTGTAGGCTACTCCAGATAAAAAACATTGGTCAAAAGTAATGAAAGAAGAGATGGAGTCATTACGAAAAAATGGTACTTATGATCTTGTTCAACTTCTGAAAGGGAAGAGGCCATTGAAAAATAAATGGGTGTTTAAATTGAATAAAAATGGTGACAAGTTAGTAAGGTACAAAGCTTGATGGTGGTGAAAGGTTTTTCTTAGAAACCTAGCATCTATTTTGATGAGATCTTCGCTTTAATTGTGAATATGAGTTCCATTCGAGTGGTGCTGGGATTAGCAGCTAGTTTGAATCTTGAGCTTAAGCAACTTGATGTTAAAACTATATTTTTGCATGGTAACTTGTAGGATGATATTTATATGAATCAGCCTGAGGGTTTTAAAGTGAAAGAAAAAGAGCACTTAGTTTGTAAACAAAAGAAAAACTTGTATAGCTTAAAACAAGCTCCATGACAGTGGTACAAAAAGTTTGATTCTTTTATGGTAAACCACAGCTATAAAATAATAGTAGCGAATTCTTATGTGTATGTCAGAAAATTCCCTAATGGTAACTTCACTATTATTTTATTATATGTTGATGATATATTGATTGTAGGACAAGATGTTGGTATGGTTTTCAAGTTAAAAGAACAATTGTCTAAGTCTTTTGATATGAAAGATTTAGGTCTAGCAAAGTACTTTTTCGATATGGACATTATCCGAGATAGGAAAGCTGAAAAGCTGTGATTGTCACAAGAAAAGTATGTTGAATGGGTGCTTAGTAGATTCAATATGCAACATGTTAAATCAGTTAGTAGTCCAATTGCCAATCATTTTCATCTGAGTAAGAAATTTTGTCCAGTGTGTAAGGAAAAACAACTAGCTATGCCTAGTATTCTTTATTCTTCTACGGTCAATTCTTTAATGTATCTTATGGTTTATACATGGCCTGACATTGCTCATGCAGTTAGTGTAATGAGCAAATTTCTTTCTAATTCGAGAAAGATTCACTAGGAAGTAGTGAAATGGATTTTCAAATATTTGAGAGACACCTCAAAACTGTGCTTGAGTTATGAAGTTTCACAACCAATTCTAGAAGGGTTTACTGATGCTGACATGGCAGGTGATCTTGATGGTAAAAAATCTACTTTATAATATTTATTCACTTTTGTAGGAAGAGCTGTGTCTTAGCAGTCTAAGTTGTAGAAGTGTGTTGCTTTATCTAAGTATATTGCAGCAACTAAAGCAAGTAAAGAAATGCTTTGGATGAAACATTTTCTTCTTGAATTGGGGTTGAATCAAAAAGAGTATATAATGTTTTATAATAGCTAGAGTGCTTTAGATTTGAGTAAAAATACCATGTACCATGTTAGAACAAAGCACATTGATGCTAGATATCATTGGTTATATTTAGTGATTGAGGAATAGCAGATGCTGTTGAAGAAAGTCCATACTGATGAGAATGTAACAAATATATTGACTAAGATACTTGCAGAGATAAGCTTGAGCTCTACAGTAACTTGACTGAAATGAGTTCCTTGGCCAAGGTAAGTTCCAAATGAAATTGCTATGGTGATGAATCTCCTCTTAATGAGGTTGAAGGGGGAGATTGTTAGGAAAATGGGGTCTAACCCCATGTAATTTGGTTTGGACTAATCAAAGGCCATAGGCCTTGGTCTTTCTTTTTACACAAAGCCCTAGCTATTTAATAAAAAAAGGTGGGGCTGTTTTATGATGGTGTTGCAAACTAAGAAAAGAAAGAAAAAAAGTCAAAAAAATAGAGAGAAAATAGAGAAGAGAGAGTTGGTTCAACGAAAGTCAACCGTAGTCTGATTGAGCTAAAATTTTATCAACAAGTTTATGATTTAGAGTTTTACATTTTGAACAGTGAAAATTGGATTTAAAGCTCTCTAAGAACAAATCCAGAGTGTATTTGTTGAGTTACCTATTTGGTGACTGATTGAGCTAAAATTTTATCAACAAGTTTATGATTTAGAGTTTTACATTTTGAACAGTGAAAATTGGATTTAAAGCTCTCTAAGAACAAATCCAGAGTGTATTTGTTGAGTTACCTATTTGGTGAGATTTCTCCAATTATCTCTCTCTAGTTGTTGATTAGCTCTAGTTAGAGAAGAACTTTATATATCTATTATTTGATAGTGGAGATTTTTTTGGTGGTCCATGTTTTTTTCCTCTACATTGAGGGTTTTTCACATAAATCTTGGTGTGCTTATTTTTTTTGTATTGTTGATTGTTGATTGTTATCTATTATTATGGGTTTATTGCGATATATTGCTTTTGAGTTATTGTGTTTATTGCTTCAGGCCTAATATGTTTTATGTATGACCATGAACCCAGTGCTTGCCATCCTTGGAATTGCAATTTTTCTGATAGGTTGTTGCATGTTTGAAATAGTTGCTCATCAACCTGAGTTCAGAGCTCCAGTAAGTGTTGGCTTAACCTGTACTTTCCATTGTCCTTCAAAAAAACAATAAACTAAGGTTTGATTTGCTATAATTCTTTAAACAGGATACGGTGGGAGTAGTCAACAAAATCAATCGATCCTTCATTTCTCCACCACCAGCAGTGTATTCCTTTACACAGTAAGTAAACATTATTTTCTGCATTATTTCCTACTCACAGAAGATTATGCACAAATACACGTTAAGAAGTTCATAACCGATACAAGGAAATCTTCCCAACTGCAGGAAGCAATTGATCAAAACCATGCTAAGAAAAAATCCAGTACACAGGCCAATGGTAAGTTCAACTAGTCTGTATTTCTATTTGCTATAAGAGCATTGGCATGTTTTGAAACTTGCAGATACTATGCTTAAGTCTATAAAGCTGTTGGGGCATCTAAATTTACAACCATATATTGATCAATGCCATAATTTTTCTCGTTTTTCTCCCGGTAAAGTTGAACTAAGTATCAAGGGTAAGCTAAAAGGAAGCCCTTTTTCCCAAAAAATTTATCATTAGGAATCCAAAAAGTGAAAAGGCAGGCCCATTAAAAGAGTTGAGAATCGTTCATGAAGGAAAGCTGATGTATTTATGGTGTATCCACTTGCAAATGATGTCAGTTACTCAAGAATGATCTTGGAGTGTAGATCAAGTGCTTATCATAAAGAAGCATTACAAGAATTCACCTCTGAACAATAAGATGTAGTGAGAAACCATTTCAACTTATTAAAGCGGCTGGTAGAAAAGCTAAGGAAGATAATGAGAGTTGTCAATGTAATTTCAGGCTTGATGGGGGCAGAATTTTTTGGAGGTTAAGTTGGTGAGCCTGTCAGTTTTTAAGGAAAAGAAAAAGATCAGGGGGCGTTGGAGTTATGATTTTGAGGTGTGCTAGATGCTAAATTAGTATGAACCCGAGAGGAAAATAGTGAATAACAAAGAATAGAGAGACGAGATAGAATAGGCTGAATGGGGTTCACTCTTATTCATTATTTTATTAATAATGATTAATAATAATCATACAAGCTATAATAATATTATAATTAAATTTTGAAATTATAATAATTGTAATATCATTAGTTCATGCAAGTTTATTAAAGATAAACTATTGAGAGATTAGCCACATCAACTGACCACTTGGGGCACATGGAGGTGTTGACTTGTCATCCCCCAATTAGGTTGTTGACTAATGCATAGTGTTTATGTCACAGTCCGGTAGTGAAGCCAGAAATCTCACATCGATTGTGTATTAAAGTTAGTCATAGGATATAAGAGTTCACACATTCTCCTCCTTGTGAGGTATCTTTTGTGGGACAAAATCATAAGGTCAGAGGATTCAAAGCGAATAATATCTCATAAGAGTGTGAAACCATGATAGACAAGTTGAGCTGAGACGTCGAAGCAGTGGATCCCGAGATCCTGGAGCCACGACTGTGTAATAAAATTAGCCATAAGATATAAGGGTTCACGCATTCTTCTCATTGTGAGACATCTTTTATGGGACAAAATCTTAGCCATAAGATATAAGGGTTTCACGCATTCCTCTCATTGTGAGACGTCTTTTATGCAACAAAATCGTGATATCAGAATGTCAGAACGGATAATACCTCACAAGAGCCATAAGATATAAGGGTTTCACGTATTCTTCTCAGATGTTTTTTATGAGACAAAATCGTGAGATCAAAAGGTCATAACGGATAATACCTCACAAGAGTGTGAAATGTCAAAATACAAAAAAATGGACATTTTATGTTATGGCAGATCAGCGAATTATTGGGCCGAGCTGGATTTGAACCAGCATAGACATATTGCTAACGAATTTACAGTTCGTCCCCATTAACCACTCGGGCATCGACCCAGGAAGAATCAATTCTAGGTTTGTTGATAATCCATGATCAACTTCCTTTCGTAGTACCCTACCCCCAGGGAAAGTCGAATCCCCTCTGCCCCCTTGAAAGAGAGATGTCCTGAACCGCTAGACGATGGGGGCATATTTGCCTGACTGCCATCATACTATGCTCATAGTATGAACAGTTTTTTGAAATTGTCAATATAATGGAATGATATGACTAGATCCGAACTGGAACCGCGCAGGGGTAGAGGTTGAGTCCTGTAACATTTACATATGGTAGTTGAGACTATATGTAATGCATAATACACGTGGTAGTTTAGACTATCTTCTTGTTGTCGGTTTCGGGCTTGGTTGAATAGACTTGTGGATCCAACGCAACAGCAATCCTAACCTTATTAGAAGTTGCCTGATGCTCAGCACCCATGATCCCTTCTTGTACGTCCTCTTGGCCCTGAGTTCTGAATTATCAGCTTGACCTTCAGCTGCAGCTACCTCAGTTGTAAATTCAGGCCAAGTAGCTTTAGTCGCATTAACATCATCTCCCTCAGCTACAGTAAAAAGACTGGCCACTAATGTTCTGCCTTCATTCGTACCATCATAGCCTATTGCAGTGCAAAACCTCATAACTCTATAATATTCTTAAGGTAAAAAATGTCGAACCCTTCTGGTGGCGAACTCATGGGCGGCAACTGCGAGGATCACAGGTCCAAATTTGCGTAGCAACTGCAAAATATATAGAGTAGAGTTGTGTCACAGTTCTGCTTAGTATGGGTCGCTTGGTCCTTCAATTCACGTGCCAGTTCTGCGCAATGAGCTGCATCAACAGCCGTTGACACTACTTAGGCTATAGCCACATTTCTTTCTTCCTCAATAGCCCTCAAATGAGTGTTCGTCCTATCTAAGTTACTATGAATCCTATTGAGTTCAAAAGCACTGTTGTTCACCTGCAGATCTAGCGGTTTAATTTTAGCGTTGTGTTCCTTCAAATGTCAGGCTTTGAACAATACCCTGCAGTTTTTACGCCATTTTAGTTTGCTCAGCAACCTGCTTTTCAGCTATCTGCGTAATCTTTATAATCTTCAAGTGACCTTAATGATCAGAACCTCAAACTGAAAGGCCTGCTGGTACCTAGTATAAGGGCTTACTGCCAGGATCTGGTGGTAGAAGATCACAAGGTCAACAATTAGTGGCTCAGGGAAATTTATCATCACTGACAATAATTATCTTCTTCAAGTTAGGGTAGGCTGATAGTCGCGAACACTTTTTTATCCTTGCCTTCAGCACGAGGGCTAAAGACAGACGTCCTATCCAATGCCCCTGCAAAAAGAGGGTCCACGACTGTAGGCATTCCCTGACTTGGAGAAGGCGATTGCTGTCAATAAGGATTAAATTTCCCTCAGCCACTTGATTGTTGACAGTGTAATCCTCTGTTACCAAATCCTTTTTTAGCAATAGGCCTCCTAACTTAACCATCAACAGACCTTTCTGATTGAGGATGTGGTGATCTTACTGGCGCTAGTGAAGAGGTTGGTCGCAACAAGAATATAAGGATTACACAAATAACTGAAGAGTGGACTGCTGAACAGGCTAAAATGGTGGGTATTGTTCGGAGCCTAACATCTGATCTGAAGGAATCCTATGCCAGAATTAAACAACAAAAGTTGCATATGAACAACAGTGCTTCCAAACTCAGTAGAGTTCAAAGTGACTTAGATTGGGTGAACAAAGCTATTGAGGAAAAGTGACATGTACTTGTAGCCTAGGCAGACTCCAAGGATGGTGATATTACTGCGCATGATTCGGAGGATCAGGCGATCCAAACTGACTAGAGTTGTGAAGAGGTAACAACTAAAATTATGGATTACATGCTCGGCAAAATAGTGCAAGGCAGTCTCCATCTTTGCAACTTTTCTCTATATAATGTGTAGCTGTTGCGCGTGCCTTTGAATCTATGGTATTACAGTTATCCCACATGATTTCGCCACCTCGACAATTTCTATACTGAGAATACTGTGAAGTTATCGAGGTTTCGCATTGCAACATGCTACCATTGTGCGGATGAAAGCAATTTCACTGTTTGGGGAAGGTCAGTGGCCAATTTTTTATTGCAACTGAGAGAGCCGATAATAATGCAACTTAGGCTATTGAGTCTAAATTTACAACTAAGATAACCGCAACTGAAGGTCAAGTAGATGATCCCATAACTCAAGACCCAAAGGATGCTCAAGAAAGGATCATGAGTGTAACATTAGGTTACTTTTGTGTCAACTGTTTTATGTTCTTACTATAAGAAATATAAGAAATTCCTAGTTGAATAGGAATAGAAGAGGACACAGCCAAAAAGGGACTACTGGGGAAGGCGACGGTTTCGAATCCACATTAGTAAGGGAAGGTTGACGTTAGCCTTAAGAAAGGAAAAGAAGAGGAGAGGAGGCATAACAATAAGAAGAAGTGAGGGAAGCTAGAGCAAGCTCAAGGTTTGAGATTGCTATTAGGCAGATCCCATAAGTCTAATCAACCAAGCTCATGAGGTCCACAAAAGAAAGTTAGCCTAAACAGTCTCGTGTCCCATACATTATATCTGGTTGATCCCACATCTTACTTGTTGCTTGGGAGTAAATTATAAAAGGTATCTTTGGAAGGTACCCCTATTAAGCATGCTCTATCTTATTTTTCCTTCTTTACTATTGGACACATTTTGACTTAAAATGTCGAAGCATGGCCAAAGTCTTGACTCTTATGCCTTCAAACTTTTTTTTTCTTTAACAGATCAAACATGCTTAACAGGTCAGTCTCCAGCAAATCTTACTCCCATCGGACCTAAAATTACATCAACAAGATCCATAGCAAGAGATTGGCAATGTTAAGTGTGTATGCTACAAGAAATAGTGTTGTTACTATTTGCAAAAAGGGAACAGAATCAGAGAAAAATAATAAGTTTGTACATGATAAGATACCGAAGTGCTTTTTACATGCATAAAAACTCTTAACTTGCATTCAATCAGTGCAAGTTTGCTTAGACAGGAAAGACCCGAGGAACTTGCTGGTTTGCTAAGACCTTTCGGGGAAGAATCTGTCTCTTCAAGAGACACAACAATTTGGTGACAAAGAACTTAAAGAATGATAAAAACCAAAATACCAGTGGAACATAGAAAATGATAAACAATCCACGAAAACATGGTACTTAATATGAGACACCAAGTAGATAAAAGGTGTCAAATGGGTCGTATTGGGTTAGTATAGTTCATTTAAATATTAATTTGTGTTAATAAATTTTGTCTGTTTAGTATTATTATTTAATGTGTTGTACTGGTATAATTCATAAAGGTTAAGGGTATGATCAACACGGCACATGACCCTAGTACAACTCTATTTTTCATGTCCAGATGGAAAAAATACAATCAATTAACAGTTTTTCAAAAATTTAACTTAAAAAAAAAAAAGTCATCTATTATTATTAAAAAAATGTAGGAGATAACTCAAAATAAAATAAAAGAGACATAATTTATGTGGTTCAACAAAATTTGTACAACTAAGGAAAGGAATAATAAAATACTATAAATAAAAATATTAAAATTACAATTCTAATATTTTAAAAAGCATATACACATTCATATAAAAGATATTATAAAACATAAGATTATTATTTTATTTTTTATTCTCATTATTTGATAATTTATTTATATAATATGTTTTGTCTTGTACATTTATGTTATACCTTTAATCTTATAGTAATTTAATTTGTTAATTAAATTTGTATTTAACTTGAAGTTAAATTTATTTTAACATTTTATTTTTGCTAAATATTAATTAAATGTAATTTATTTATCAATAATTTAAATATTTAATAAGTAAATTTATTTAATATAATTTTAGTTTATAAATTATTATAAATTATTAAAAATAAATATAATTTTATTTTAATATAAGAAATAATATAAATACGTTAAGAATTCATTTATATATATATATATATTCATTTATATATATATATATATAGATATATATCTCGATTCACTTATTTAATAATAATTTGTTTAAACACAATTTATATTATGTTATATTATATCGTGTGATGGTTCACGTAACCCATTTAGGAGTGCGTGGATAATTATGTTTCGAATCTGATACAGATTCAATTCGTCTCCATCTGTAACGTACCTCTCACTTCAACATCAATTTCTTTGTGCAGCTTCTTCCTCCATGTCGCCCTCATAAAATGCCATGATTAGACATCTACTGACCGTATTAGTACTGAAAATTGATCTCATATTTTGAACTACAGAAGCTGCAGAATTTTGTCTACATTTCTGTTGTTAATCTTAATAAAGTTCCTGGAAAATGTGTTCGCTTCGTGCCAAAAGTCCAGCAACAGAATACCACTAAGAAATATATTGTTGCCACTGACATTTTAGAAATCCTTTGAGCTGGAAAACATTGACTAAACAAAATACTTTAAATTTGAGTGATTCTAATTCTTGAGGGAGAAGCAACTATTATTTTATCTTCACAACCTTTTTTTGCTGGAGCTTAATTAAACTTCCTTATGCTATTTGTCACACTTTCTCCTCTTAACTTATTTCATCTTCTAATTTTTTCTGTTCTTTTTTATCTCTTACCATCATCTTCTGAAAATTTCCTTCTCATATTCATGTTTCAATCTCCTTAAAAATACTGAGCCCAAATTCTTTTTCCAGTACTCGTGATTTAGCGCTCTCGTTACTACAGTTGAAAGTCTAACGAGAACATTCATCACAAGAACAAAAAGATGGGGAAAAGATTGCACTAGAAAAATGACTGATCGATTCTCTATTCAGGGCAACAGATTGTTTTAGTAATTGCTCAGATCGTGATCCGATTACGAAAAGGTGAGATATCCATGCTGCTACGACATACGGGTCTCAACTGCCTACTCACATGATAACTAACATTTGCGTAGAATAGGCCAAACCTTGCTGAAAATTGGCTCATGCTATAAAGTCATAGTGCCTGAATTCTGCAGTTTTGGAGCCAAAGGTAACAACAGTTATTCTATTGTAGAAGTTAATTTGATAGAAGAAAGAAAGAAAAAGGATAGCGTTGATGAAATCTTTGTCCTACAATAAGTGGTGACTGTTTGCAAAAGTTGTACGTTTATCAGGGTCAAAAGAACGTTTCTTTTAGACTAGCATGCAGGAGCAATTTTGTCTTCAGTTAATTCTCTACATTGATCAGAAACAGATGTTTTTGTAGTCTTTTCTATCTCTAATTTCTCGGCCAAAAGAGTGAGG